TAAGCATCACTTCTCTATCTGGTTCGAGGATCATTAGCGTTAACAATAACCTCCAGATATGCCGCATCCCTTTCCTTATCCCCTCCCACTCCCTCATCTCCCCCTCCTGCAGACCCAGCCCCGACGCCGGTAACTGGGTGGCCAGATACCGCAGTTAATACATCCACATTAGCCAACCCTCCAAAAGAATCGGTCGGCTCAGTCTTGATTTTGATGGCGCCGGTCCCATTAACCTTGGTCCCCGCATCCCCACTACCGCCATGCTCATTACCCGACTCATCGAAAGCCTCCCTCCAAGCTTCATCCCGATCCTTCCTCTTCTTACTAACCGCCACATCCCCTTTAATCCGCGCATTATTCTTAGCATGAGCACTAACGGCCAGCAATTTCCTAAGCGCGTTCTCCGCAAGCCTCGCCTCCTCCGTCGCACGTTCTCTTATCACACGCGGTTCTGTTGGCCGCTCCGTGAACAGTGGTGTGGCCTTGTATGTATGTTTGCTAGGCAGCGGGGGAAAGAAGTCCTCCAACGCACTCCGCTTCTGAAGATCTGTGTCGGCCAATTCCGGTCCTAATAAGGTGGCTAGATCTGGCGTGGGCGAGGGCGGCGGGGTGCTAGGCGGGAGAACAAATGCGTGTGTCTTGGATGGCATGCGGAGCATTTCAGATTCTAGAGATGAGAGGGTGATGCCCATGTGCTGTAACATATCTTCGAAGTCGACAACCGTGGGCTTTGTGCGGCGTTGAGAGGTTGCGAGGAGGGTTATCACGCGCAGCATTCGGAGGTAGTCTTTAGGTTCAGTGTTAGACAAATAATGTAGTAGTAGGAGTTTGAAGGAAACATACGATCCTCTGCAAGCTGCCTTAATCGCTCCTGTGCGACTGTTGTTGCACCGTTATACCCAACCGACTTGAGTATCATCGCTGCGCTCCTATTCAACAAATTCGCAGCCACTTCCTGCGACACAACTGGCGTAGCGTCTTCGTATTCTGGAGGGGGAGGGACGATGCCTCTCCGCCGGCGTTTCAAGGGGTGGAGATTCTCTAGGCCATCCATCTCAAGCTGTGGTGGGAGCGCACCGGCCATTTAATCGTCTCGTAGTCGTCTCGTGTTTGTGCTCGGTGTAGCGGTCAAGTTGTTGATATCCTTCCTGCCGCTCAAACTCCGTGGCGTGAAAAGAAGTCGAAGGATGTTGTTCCGTCGTTGACTTTTTTGTCGCGGAGGTAGTTATGTTTTGTGGCAGCAAAAGAAAGTGTAGTGCTGGATGTTAGAGGTTGTGAGCAAGGCACATCAGGTGTGGGGGTTAGACTACTCGAGTACAGTACTTGTAACTTCTTTTTTGGTAATTTACGGCACCAACGTTAAGAGAGGAACCCAAACCTCGCCAAGACATATTGCCAAATCACGTGATAATGCCAAGCTAACCTCCAATTCCCGTCCCACTTTACGAGTAATGTACCGGTACTGTACTAGTACTGCCCCGTTTCGTTTCTCGCTTCTTTTTGAACATCGCTCCTCTTCTCCGACTTCATCCCGCCTCTCTTAAAACCGCAATCTAGTGTGCGTTCGACGCCAAAGTTCCTTTACGAAAAGACACTTCCTCTGACACAAGAGTTTTGCAGGAATCACCACACAAACAACCAATTAAACAACGATGGCCATCGCTCCGATCGTTGGAAGACTTCGTAAAGGTCTTATTATCGACCTCTCGGTCTCGCTAGGCCTTGGAACCGGTACGCACTCTCTTCTCTCACTGGCACTACTTGACATGACACAGTAATACTAATTTTTTGCGGTGTAGCGGCTGGATGCCTCTTTTGGTACGGTATGTTATCGAGTTTGCCCCACTACGCTTCGAGGGTCATATACTGACTGATCTTTTGTTCGCAGGTTACCATACCCCATCTATCCGCCACCGTGATGCGTACGTTCCCCCATGCCGGAGACAAGGAAGAGTAGTACTTACTAGCGGACGAACAGATACTATGCCAAGTTGGAGCAAGAGCGAATCAAGAATTCCCAGTGAGAAGGCGTCAGGTATGGCGTTGGATCGGTGAATGAATGCCACCTTGGGCAGACAGGCTTCAGAATAGAGTGAGGTTGCAGAAATGAAATTGAGGGTTTGAGCCTTGAATGGTTAAGGATTGAATGGGAATATCAGATTTTTACGCCAGCTGGGGTTCGTGAAACTACAGGTCCGATGCTGTACCAGTGTGCTCTCCCTCAAAAATACCGTACCAAAATACCAGGGCACACACAATACAGTAATTACACTATCAAACATCTCAACTAACCATCACAATTTCCCGACCACTAACCGACACCCGTACCGCGAACGGCAGGCGATCCATTCGGTGTCAGCATTCAATGCATAATTTACCCACGGCAACGGACAGTACCCGCTATTCTAAGCGTCAATACCATTCTAGAGCCCACAAAAGTGCATAGCATATCAGTTTGACGTCCCTCTCATTAATCTTCTACGGGAGAAGGAAAAAAAATATAAAATATAAAAAGTAGTCAGCCTGCCTGCCAAGTATTAACCTATCGTCCACCGCCGCAGACCCAAGAAACAGATGAATCCCCCCACCTGCCGCCGCCCTGGCAAATCCAACCGCCGAGCCCGCAGGTCAAAACTAAACTATCCCAAACAGTCAACCCCACCTTCAACTGCTTAGTCAAGACCCCTTCTAAAACCCCGCCATTGGATAAATTATATTATAAATGATAACCATGATGCCCACCGCCCGCACCATACTCGAGTAGTTAATAATAGCAATACTCCAAGTATATACCCAAGTCTCTCGTGAAATGGGCTCGATATGTGGGACACGCAGCCGCTCACGAAGATGTCGGGTCACCCGGGCGTATTAATTGCTTGCCTCGAGGCGGGCCAGATTAGATGGGGGGGAATGAGAGGTATTTACAGTAGACTGAGGATGGTCTCCATCCTTCCATCCTTCCTTTCTCCATGATCGTGAGGGGGGAACAATTTACATCGCTGTTTCTACTCATGACCTTATGGATCCCACAATTCTTGCCCGTTATGAGACTTAAGTGCTTGTTCCCACGGGAGGAGCACATTTCCGAAGAAGGGAGGCTGTTTTGTTTGGTGGTTTCCTGGTTGTTGGAGTTTTGACTTCTGGTTTATGGCATGCTGGGTGTGGGGTGTGTGGGTCCTTGTGAAGTGGGTATGATACCGGTATTAGCTTCCCTCCCTATATCCTCCCTTGGTGGGGGGTTCCGTCACTTCCTTATGGATCGGTGGTTTACGTTTTTGGAGAGTAAGTTGGTGGCAAGTAGACAATTCCTCCAGCCAGACCATAAAAGCCCCCCTTCCCTCCTTGCTCATGCACTTCGAATGCCGGTAGCTCATTAGCTCCCCCCAATTCAACTCAATTCAACCAATTATCGAGTGACGACCTATGCACTCATTGTTCCCCCATCTTGGTACAGTAAATGGCGTATCATACCTTCGTCAAGTGTCCAAAAGAAAAGTAAGAAAAAAAAACTCGGGAACTAAATAAATAAGTAAATTCAGTAGCACCATCTCCCATCCAGCAAAAAATGAGCGTCAAGAAAGAATAAGATCGACACTCCAATCATTCGAATACAATCCTATACAAAAAAATAGTTAAAAATGAATACATTTCCCCCCACCTCTTTTTCCTCGCCACAACCCACCAACCGACCAAAACATTATAATGCCGGGGGCGGTGTATCCCCCCCGACGTCGTCCCTCCTTCCTCCCTGATAAATCGGCAATCTCGGCACACTCCTCTGCTGTTCCTGCTGTCGTTCGGGACTTGGCGTAGTTACCGGTGAAGGACTATTGATCGAGACGCCGTCATCGTCTTCATCACTACCACGAATTTCGCGAGACGAGGAGTTCACGTCGTATGGCTTGGCCGGCATGATGACTGGTTGGACTTCCTGGGGCATCTGCTGTGGTTGTGTGTCGCCGTAATGGGACATTAAAGCATGGGCTTCGTTCGGAGCTGCCGGGCTGTGATGAGGGTGGGGTGACTCCGAAGCTGCGGCGGGAGGGACGGGGGGGAGGGATGGGCCGTCGTAGTTGGCCGCCGTTTCGTCGGCTAGTGAGAGGAGGATTAGTACACCATACGTGACCGCGAAAGGGTGGAGGAGGGCTTACCAGATTTCTCCTCAGAACCAAACTGATCACGGGTCCTCCTCCTTTTCCTCAAAAATAATAACAAAGCGCCAACAAGCAATAGGAAGAGCACCCCGCCGATAACTCCTCCAGCTATAGCTCCAGTATTACTGGAACTCTTTGCTGACGATGGCCGAGCAGAGCCAGCGGTGGGGGTAGTGGAACCCTGAGCAGCCGTATCCATAGCGGATGCCCCTTCCTTTAAGTTACGATTATTTCCGGTCCCGCTGCCCCCCTTCAGTCCCTGGCCCTGCGACGCTGTCGACGCCGGGCTGAGAGTATCCATAGCAGAGGCGCTCGCAGGAGGGAAACCCGTGGGAAGACCGGTTTGCGCGACGACGATGGTTGTTGACAGTAGTCCATAGAGGAGTGCGGCTGAGAGGGGGTTGAACCACATTTCGAGCGTCCCTATTTTCCTCCCGACTCTATTTTTTACTTTATTTTACTATCCTGATTGTCTTAATCCTTCAATCGGGTCCCGTTGGAGGGATTGTGAAGGAGTATAAGGGGAGGGGGGTGGCCGGGACGAACAGACGGTGAACGAAGAGGGGGAAGGATCGCGAGAGATTTCCAGGAAATGAAAGGGAAGGAACAGAAGAGAAGCAAGAGAGTAGAAACGAAGCCAGCAGGCAAAGCGCTGGGAGATAATCCTCGCTCAACCTCAGCCACTCGTCCCCCTCCCGAAAGCAGAGCAAAGCGAGCAAAAGCAATAAGCGCTAGACCACTCATTCACTGGATCATGGCAATACTCGAGTACCTCCACCACCACCCTACCGGTACTCTCAAGTATTTGAACCAGACCCTCCTCCACCGTACCCTTACACTAAGTAAAACCAAAGCAAAGCAAAAAGCCCTAACATAACTCCCCTCCTCCATCCCTTTTCCTTCCTAACTTGAATGATAACTGACCGAATGCCCATCCAGCCGGCGTATCACTCGTACCAAAAGAAAATCTAAGGAGCGCATAGGGAACAGTAAGCAAACCAGGCAGGCAAGCAGGATCTGCTCACCCGAATGGGCTTTTCCTCTCTATCCCTCGTATGGTAATAAAAGGCTCTGAGGTTACTCCAAATGGCTTGTACGGTATTGGCATTTGATGAAGGAAAAAGAAAAAAAAACTATACGAGGCAGAGCAAAAATGCTCAGCCGCACTTTTTCCTCGTTCGGTGCGTGGGTCGTTCCAGTTTTAAAAGCACACGGGTGTGTGTGGGTGTGGGTGTGCCGTTTTGTGTCAGCGTGGAAGGGTTGGAGCGGGCTGATTGATTCATTTTCTTGCTTCCTTTCTTCCCCTTCCTTTCAACTCATCGAATCAATCGAGCAAAGGAAGTGGGAATTCGAGGTGAAACGGGTTTCTTTCACTTTTTGGGCCCTCTTCTATCGAATGATGGCTGTGTTAACAATGCATATCATAATAATAACTTTCCATAACCCAACTACGGTAACGTGCCGGTAACTTAGACTAACCAACCCACGGAGCACAATGGGGCCCCCTTGCCCCCAAAACCACTGCTGGAATGCCTGTTTATCGACGGTAGACTTAGACTATCCATACCGCCTTTGATTCATACATGAATGACGATCCTCCGCCTTCTGAAGTCCCGTGAGAGAACGGGAAAATACCCGATGCCCGCATGTATGATACAACTGTAGAAGTGGCTTTTCCCCCCAAGTCAGTTACCGTATTCACGGTCGTTTTTAAAATTTTATCTTCTCGATGCACTGTAGACTTGCTATCGGATAGGTCAGACAGGCAAAAGGCAAGCAAGCGGGCTGCGAGCAGGATGGATGAGCAAGATGGGAGAGAGGAGAGGGGTGGGGGGAGTGAATTCATTCCGACATGCTTACTACAAGTAGTACAAGCATCATAACATAACTAACTTACCCGTGGGCTTTAAGTTATTTTTGTCCCAACCGATTTTATGATATAATACATATCATACATACAACAACACTTTTTTGCTAAAAACCGACAAAAAGTGCTGATATGTATCTGCTGTGTAATGCTAATTGAGTTGATGCTGGTTTCGGTTTTGGTATTTCTCCGGCCTCGCATGAGAATAGGTCTAATAAGTAAGCTACTTATATGCCCTACCGGCACTTTTACCGCTTTGCACATTACTTGTGTAAGTATCGTACTGAGTACAAGTACAAGGAAGGGTGGTTTTGGAAGAGGTGGTACAGTACGGGGGCAGGGGGAGGGGGGGAAAGGGAGTGAGGGAGGGAGAGGTGTTGACGTCGGTTTTGGGTTAGAAATTGGTTGGTTATACTTGCACGTTGCGATTATTGGGTTTGGCATGGGGAATACAAGAGTTTATCATACAAGAGTTCCTTTCCATCGCTCAGGGTGTTTTTTTTTTCTTTTTTCTTTTTTCTTTTGATACGGTATCATAGATCGTTTTGGATTGCAGGGTCGGGCAACCTGATCCGTCAATCATTTTGTTCCCATTGGTTGTTGAGCTGAGAGAGAAAAGGGGAAAACAGTATCGTACCAATACCGGTATCGCTGCTACCGTAACTGGATGAAGTTTTAGTCATGAACCTTACTGTATCGTACCACTGTTCCATGCCGCGGGCCCCCTTGCGGGTCAATTCCGTCGCCGGTAGATAATGGATTATTATATAAACACCGCCTTCTTATTATCACAGATCTCCCCCTCCCCCCTCCACCCCGAGGCAGGACAATTCCCATACCGGTACTAGCTAACTATATACAAGTATACCAGCGCAGTCCTTCTTCTCGGCCTGCATCGCCTTACTCTGGCATCCGAGTCGTTGCTTTATACTACGATACCTGCCTCTCCTCTCCTCCCATCAAAAACGCACAAATCGAGGTGGTGTCCGGCGATAACGCCAACTACGAGTATCGAAGATGCTGCTGTTTCGTTACCACACACCAAACCGGTCAAGAAGAGGGAGCTCCGTCTCGCTTTCGGATACGGTGCCCCACGCTGGCCGAATATAGGACTGCGCTATGGTGGATTGACCTACCGTGGTATGGCAGTCTTGATGGACGTGTGGTATAACGCTGTTCTGCGCTGTATTGTATGTTCCATAGATGGTGGTATTCTGGAGGGCTTTGTTTTACGGGAGTTAGGGGTTGGGATTGGGATCGGGGGACTGGTTCTGCCCCCCCGGTATGTGTAACTTGGCTCTGGAGAGTATCGGCTCGTGTAAAGGGAGGGAGGGATTGGCATGTTAAAGTGCTTTATGGTATTGTGATGTCAGAAACACTCCCCTACCGTTATGAAGTTTCCCGAATCTCTGCATTCGATCAACCAACTCACCAACCAGCAAGCCAGCCGGCGGGCCAGCCAACAACGACCAGCACCGTACGGTATACTACATGATACTATGGTATCCCCACACCTCATTACCCGACCAGCTAACAAACCCACTTAACGCATGTATGTATATATATGTATGATATCCCATCCCCAAAAAACAAAAATGGATGAGTTTGCGAAAGTAAGCAAGTAAACAAGAAAGCGGGCAAACAAGTAATTTATGGTAATAACAGTGAGAGCAAGACCGAGACTAAGAGTAAGGGTAATAAATAACTATCAACCAAGCTGCGGAGAATAGAACGAGTATCATGGATGGGAAATAAGAAATAAATGAAAATGCCCGCCGCACCCTCTCTTTCCTTCCTGCCTCTCAGTGAATCTTCTCCACACTGGGGCCTGCCCCGCCCCCCACCACTATCGCACCAACCGCCAAATGCCCCAAGGAAGAAAAAAGAAGGAAGTAAAAGTCTAATATGGACGATGGGCAGGCGGATAGATGGATTGACGGAGCAGAATGATAACGCAACCTTGCTTTTTTTTTTTTTGGAAATCTATAAAAGGGGCGTGATAGAAAGAAGGTGCTTTGATGCTACTAGTATGACCGAGGGAGGATTTATTACCTCTTCTTCGAACGTGACTTGCTTTTGGAAACACTTGTCGCTGCGGACGCTTTAGAGTCGACGCTGGAGGCTCTCGAAGTCGCGTTTGAGGTGGCTTTGCTGTCACCACCTTTCTTGGTTTGTTCTACTTGCTTATTCTGCCTTTCCATTAGTCTAATTCCAATAATGATCACAATGTCAATTTGGATCCAGGGAAGGATATATATGTACCTTTGGAGGTTGTTTGGCAGTCTTCCCGTTGGTCTCCTTGGCAGTGCCAGAGTTTGCTTTGCCCTTTTTGGCAGGAGGACCCTCTTCTTCCTCCTCCTCTTCTCTGTCCCTGCCCTTCTTGGCTGCTGTAGCCTTGGCGGCAGCTACGCCGTTTCCATTCTCCTCGAATTCCCTAGCTACAGTGGAGATTAGAGTGGTGCACCTTCTGGAAATCTCCAAACTAGTGCGGGACAGAAGGAACCAGTCAAATCTAAATGTTGGGCTCTCGCGGATCTCGTCACGGATCTTTTCGTGGAGATTTTCCGCGTCCAGCCCAAACTTATCCAACTGGACGAGCAAGAAGCGATCCTCCTCCTCAGTGTACACCTTTTTGTTGGTGGTAGAGACAGAATAGCTCAGTTTTAGCTGTTGGAGGGGAACGCGGTACATCTCAATCTTCTTACGAAGCATCTTCTTTTGTTGAGATATTTTCGCAGACTTCTCCTCGCCAGTCTCGATAGTGTTGATGCATTTTTCCCAGTTTGGCATTTCCTTGTACCGCTCCCAGAAAACCTTAGCATATTTGCGAACCTCCTTCTCTTCTTTACTCTCCATTTCCTGCGCAATCATTGCAAAATTCTTGCGACCATATTTGGCCGAAAGCGTGACAAAGGTGCCAAAGTCCTTGCGTGACCAGCTGCTGAACCCTTGTTCCGCAAGATGAGCTTTCTCTGCTTGCTCCTCCTCTGTAAGAGGTGTTGCATTGTCTATTGCCTCTTGCTCTTGATCCCGGGCCGCCTGGCGTTCTTCAAGGTCGTCGGCTTCGCCATCAGGTAGAGGTACCTTGTAACCTTGTTGTTTCTGCGAAATGTGTTAGCAAGTAACCTCATTAAATAGGTTCAGAGCCATGCTATTCACCCTGAAATACGCCGTTTCACGGTCCTGAAGCTCAACCAACCTGGGCGGATAAAACTGATGCTCGAGAACATTGACCTGCTTGGGTGCACGAGGCGCTTTCGGCTTTGTATCGGCCGCCTTGTTCCCAGAGGTTAAAACAGTGCGGTAGTAATTGTCAATACCATAACTTTGCTCCTTACGTTCGCGTTTCGCCGGGTTAATCCAATTGGCACCGATACTGGGTTTCTTGATGGCTGCAAAGTTCTCCCCGTTCCATTCATACGCGGAATCGGAAGTAAACTTTTGCAAGTCATCCAAACCAAGCTTAGCGTATCGAGCGTTAAGCTCGGCCGTCCTCTCCTCGCCACGCTTCAAGATGGCGTCAATATCATCCTCAGTCATGTTTTGCGAGATACCGGCCTCCTTCTCTTTGCCACCTTTGAAGACAAGGTCTGCTCCGTGTTGAATCATTGACAGGAGCTCATCCTTATTGGCCGCAGCCTTTGCCTGCTGTTGAGAACGGCCTTGTTGGATAACCAATTGATCAAGTCTCAACTTTTGGGCTGCGCGTTCGAGCACCTTCTCTTCGATGGCATTTTCAGTCACAAATCTGAAAACCATCACCTGTTTAGTTTGGCCAATACGGTGGGCACGATCCATGGCCTGAAGATCTGCCTGGGGGTTCCAGTCGGAGTCGTAAAGAACGACAATGTCCGCGGTGGTCAAGTTGATACCTAAACCACCTGCTCTTGTAGTAAGCAAGAAGATAAACTTCTCGCTGCCGGGTTTGTTATACTCATCGATTGCTGTGATGCGATCCTCATGGGCAGTGGATCCATCGATGCGGCAGTATGGGTACTCTCTGAAAACACAGTAATCCTCCAATATGTCCAGCTGACGTGACATTTGGGAAAAAATTAGAACTCTTGACTTTTGAGCTTTCATACGTTTTAGGAGCTTGTCGAGCATAACCATTTTACCAGAATTATCGATAATGTGCTCATCAGTGGTGTATGGAGGACCAGGCTCGGCGCCTTCGAAAAGATAAGGGTGGTTGCAGCATTTACGCAGCTGCATCACGATATTCAAGAGACGAGTCTTGGATTCGCGCTTGCCTCCAGCACCATTCACGGCATCGATATCTTTCTCGAGGATCTTTTGATACCATTTAATCTGCATATCCGACATCCCAATGTAGACGTTGACCTCTAAGGATGGTAAGTGCTTGTTTCATAGGTGGAATGGGGTACTGGCATACCCTTCTTGGGCAATAAACTCTTTTCCACGTCACTCTTGACTCTGCGAAGCAGGAAAGGTCGCAAAACTTTGTGCAGCTGCTGAACGACGACATCCTGATCGCCACCCTGATTTTCAAACCACTCGTCAAAAGCAGCGGAGTCGCCGAACACATCGGGCAGAAGAAAATTGAGCAGTGCCCAGAGCTCGTGGAGATTGTTCTGGAGGGGAGTACCAGTGATAAGGAGTCTATTACGAGAATTGAACAGACGGATAATTTGCGCAAGCGCAGATTCTTCGTTCTTAATACGGTGTGCCTGTGCTTGTTAGTTAGACTCAATACGTCCCTAAGGATGTCGCAAGTGGCTTACCTCGTCGACGATGATATACTCCCAGGCAAACTTCTTCAGGTGTGTTTTTTCCCGAAGAATCATCTCGTAACTTGTGACCAAACAATCAAAGCCGTCCGTTAAGACGAGTTCCTGGATAAGCTTCTGCCGCTCCTCCTTTGTTCCTTGCAGGACGAGAACCTTGACATCTGGTGTCCATTTCTCAAATTCCCGTTTCCAATTATCCAAGGTAGATTTCGGAACCGTAATCAAATGAGGCCCCTTTATTCCAGCGACATATCGAAGGTAACCCAGGAACTATTTATGTCAGTATCTATTGCACTGAATAAAACATTCATGGGAGAGCATACAGAAATTGTCTGCAACGTTTTCCCAAGACCCATTTCATCAGCCAAGATACCAGATATACCGTTCTCGTGCAGAGAAATCAGCCAGTTTAAACCTGCAATCTGGTAATCTCTCATCTGTCCTCCCTTAATGAACTTGGGTGATTCCGTAAAGATTGCCGCCGTGCCACCATCTACGATCTCATCTTGAAGAAGCTCTTCATCTTCCTCCTTCTCGGTTCGGCGGCGCCTATTATCGGTGGAACCTTTCCTATTCTTTGCCTGTTGCCTTGATTTCTCCTCCTCTTCTGCCTTCACCCTCTGGTAGTCTGGGTTGTTACTCATGAAATGACGAAACAGATCTAGAGGCAATTGTCAGCTGTGCCCATGCCAGAGCGGTAGACAAGTTAGGACAATCCTACCTGTGAGTCCAAGCAAATATCTGATTCTCTTCATAGAGTCGTTTTCCTAGAAGAATCCGGAAGTGTCAGAGCTCGAAGCCAAAATGAAATCAACCTTGCGCGTCCAACCATCCTCAAATGGCAATTGGCTGACTGAAATACCTTTGTTTTATTGAGGGTATCGTTCTTCTTTCCAAACGCCTTCTTCTGTTTTTTCGTTGCGGCCGTTCTACGCCGACGTCCATCAGCCGGGTCTTCAACTGAGGTGTCATCGTCATCATCGCCGCCTCTGTCCGGCTGGTCCTCATCGTCTTCGTCGCCGCCATCGTTCCCCTAAAAATCCAATAGCGTAAGTATCGGGAGTGTGTGTGCATTAGTTTGTTGACAGCACGTACATTATCCGCATCCTAAAAACACCAAGTCGCGCCTGTTAGTACTCATATTCCTGTTTTTTTAGGCACTCGGCAGTGCACAAATATCCGTAAGCTGGAAAATAGACAACATACGTTCATAGAAATATCAGCGTTGTCATCCGTCTCATATTCGGTATGCTTTATATTTTTCGCCGCCACCCCGTCCACCATCTCGGAGTCGGAGACGACCTTACTCTTCCTAGCCTTGACCATCTCGACTCTAGAAGTCGCTGGTTGTGATAGCAGAAGTGGGATGAAATCGATTTTTCTTCTTCTTCGGAGCGATGAGGTGGGGTTGTATGGCGGGGTATTATAGAGAAGGTGTTGTTGGTTTGAAGAAGGGATTGGGAATGAGATGTTGTGTTGTTGTGAAGGCAGGACGGGGGGGGAAGAGAAGTTCAGTACAGTGTGATACCCGCAGCGTACTGTATAGTACTGTGCCTGCCCTACAGATCAGCGCCAGGCGCGTCGCCGACGAAATTCCCAAATTCCATTTACCACGCGAACATCCGCCAAGAAGGGCGCTATCACGCTTACTCACCTCCCTCAACCAAGGAGAGCACCATAATATGATACTTGTAGTACCCGTATATCATGGAACTCGAAATTACCTTGCCGGCAGCTGGTAGTTAGGATATCATTTCTCCAGCTGTTTCCTCGCCCCACCACCGATGGTTCAATAGTACTTTCTATCCCACAATTGGCAAACATTGAGCTGAAGCTGGATCAATAACTGCGAATACATCTCCACGAATAACCTTTCCACTCCATCCATATACGAGTTTATCGTGGATAACCATCCGTCTACTGTAACTTACTTGTCGTCATCGCAATCCGCGGCTCTCGACCGGTTAACATGAGGTATCTCATTCCTTAACTCACCTAACCTTATACACTCCGCAGGAAATGGGAAACGATTTCTCTCCAACCCCGGCCCCTTAACCTTTAATAGCACTCAGAGACTGTGGTTCCTGGGATTTGGACGATTAAAAGTTATTTTAACAACCCAGACCCCCGGCCGACGTATCACATCGCGGTAAATGGTTTCAGGTTAGGTTTGGCTGGAGTACGGTAACCCTCTCCATGATAGTCTAATACACTTTCTTCCAAAGAGAGCTCCACTCATATTTTAACTTATGGGTACTGTGGCGCTAACGGTAACTTACAAGCCTCGACTCCAGCCGACCTTTCTCTTCTTCTTCCTGATCTTCCGGGCTTGTAGGGCCAATCTTTTATCCACCCCTCCAACTACAACACCACCCACCAACGACTGTCTTTCTCTCCCCTCCTGACGATCCTTGGCCACTTGGTCCACCTGCTTGCCAGCGCTGCCCTCCCTTCATTTCTCACACATCTCGTTGTCCATACGCTCTACACCACCAACACCTCCACCACCACCACCACGAATGTAAGTTGAACTGCTCTGCTGTGTATTTTTACCTACTGGTACCTTTCACTTCTACACCTTCCGTCATCATCTTTCGGAGAAGAGAGAATAGAAAGAAGAAAAAAAAGGAGCCCATCCCCCCTCCCCCCTCCCCTCCTCCTTTCCCCAACACTAACTCCGGTCATTTCAATATTAATAAGCTGTTTTACATTCCACTAAGGCTTCTGTTCCGAAGATAAAAATTAGGGTTTTTTCAATCGCCTAACATTTAACCCCTCGAGGAAACTACGTGCATCGCTTGAACCTGCCTAGAGACTAGCGCAGCTCCTGCAACATAGTACAAATGGAACGAATGGATATGGATATGACATCGCTTTCCTCAAATCTCCCCAATGAGAACCATTCCCCCGAAGATCCCCCTGACCCAGAACCTGGACCATCCTCAACTCTACTACTACAAGCCTTTAAACAAACCGCTCTATCCGTCACCAACCTCTACAAGGCCGCTGCCAACGAGGCACAGCGTTCACGTCGTGATGGAAGAATTGAAGGTTACCAAGATTGTCTGGAGGACTTTCTGGTCTTCATCGATAGGATTGAGAGCCGTGGAGACCAAAAGACATTAGCAATGTTACGGCAATGGGCCTTGGGGAAGCGGAGGAAGCTTGCTCCGGGGGCAGGTTGGAAGCCGAAGCATAAGAAGGAGGACACTGGTATGGAGGAAGCTATGGACAGTGATGAGATGACAACACCCGTCAACACTGATACCGAGCGGGTCGAGATGGCCAGTGCTTCCCCTTTATCGGATCACCAACTCCAAACTGCACCTCATACGGTTCCTTCCCTTCCTCCTCCTCAGGTTCCCACGCCTCACACCCAACAACAACCATTCAATCCACTATCCCGTAGATCCTCCCCCACTCATTCCCGTCAACCGAACCCAGGTTTTTCTTTCCGATCGAATCTAGACCTTCCTCGCCATGTTCCACCGCCTCCCGCACTTGGTATCAGTGAGCACCGCTCGGCTGATGTGGACCTGTATTCTCCGCCGACTTCGCCAAACCTTGCCGCCCAGAAGCCAATATTTCATGGAATCTCGGCTAACTCCGGATCTATCCCTGGATTCCGAGGAGTCTCTAGAAGTCCGTCCACTACAGCCATGAGCAAGAGCCAAGGCACCAAAAGACGATTTGGATCCATGGGTGACTTTGACTTCTTTGAGATGGCTGAGCTTGAAAAGATGCAGATGAACAACAAGAGAAGTCGTCACAACCAGTAGCCTGGAGGATATGAGTATACCACACACAAATTACGCACTAGAGCAGTGTTTTCGTTTGAGGAATGGCAAGCGGAGTGTTGGAAGACCTATAGATTGCTTGTCACTTTTGTCGTGTTTTCACCCCTCTGTTTTTAGGCCATATCATCATTGTTCTCTTTGTGTATTTTTCTTTTCTTTTCTCCCTTTTGGCTTCTGGTAGTGTGGCTACATCTTTACATCGGTTTTGATTTTCTCACTCTTAAATTACTTTGGACACGGACGATAGATGGTGGGGACAGTTGGCCGTTCACTTTGTCAATAAGGTTTATTTACTTGGATTCTGGAAGCTCATGGCGTCGAGAAAGATGTTATTCCCTTTGTTTCACCCGAGTCTACACGTTTCTGTTTTCACCCATTTTCCAATGCCCCACTTGTTCATACTCCCTCGCTCACCTTGCACTCTGTTCTTTTCCCACATTATTATTGACGACTTACATATTAGCCCTCTTTTATCTTTCTTTTTTTTTTCCACCGAATACCCTCTCTGTATTCCCATTAATTATTTTTTATTTTTCTTCCGGGGCGCCGTTTTGCTTTACATTAGCATCATTAGAGGTTTGGGTGGTTGGAGTGTTGTTTTACGCCTTGAGATGGTGTCCGTATTCATTATTTGGTGTCTGGGTTTTATCATGTAAATATGCTGAGATATTGGGAAGATAATTGTGTGCTCACTATATTTCGCAAATGCTTGAATCGTTCAGAATTGTGACTATCCATTATTTCGGAGTAGTAGTAATAGTCTAGGTAGCTAGCAGCCAGTGATCATTTGTTTCCCAGGTCTTGCTGCTTTTTGATATCGACGTTAATTTATCTATCAATACTTGCCCTCGTACTGGTAGTATCATAGCCAGATCAAAGGCTTGGCCTACCGCTAAGCTAAACACCTTTTCTTTTCCTCTTCGCCAAGACCGTCCGACAGCTCCCTAGCTCGCGCTTTTTTTTTTTGCTCCTGGGATCTATGATACATTTGACTACCTACCCGAACGAAATTCACTCCTTTGGACATACAAGGATAAATAAATTATATTGAACTCCTTTGGACAATAACGACAGTCACCACTGCGATGGTAGTTTCCATTCGGCTACCCCAATATAACGAGAGCTCTACCCGCCGGACGCGTCGAAGCACACTATGGCGATTATGGGCTCCTTACAAGAAAGGTTGGATTATAGGAGTTGTGCTATTTGTTGAGCTAGTACGTTTTCTACTAGTATTATACCGGCCACACTATAATCGT